TTGGATGTTTCTTGCTGGTGGATTGAGCCTCTTCACATTATATAGTGTCTTTTACTGTCCTTTTTAACTTTTGTTGGTTTAATGTCTGTTTTGTCTGATAGAAGAATAGCTACACCTGTTCTTTTTTGTTTTTCATTTTCCTGGAAAATCTTTCTTCAGCCCTTTACCTTGAGCTTGTGGATGCCATTTGCAGTGAGATGAGCTTCCTGAAGGCAGCAGAAAGATGGATCATGCTTCTTTATCCAATTTGCTACTCTATGCCTTCAGTCTATTCATGTTTAAGTTAATTATTGATATGTAACAGTTCATTCCTGTCATGTTGCTATTAAGAAGCTGCTTTGCCATTCCAGGCTTTGTGGTTGATTTGTAGGGTCTGTAAACTCTGTGCTTACCTATGGGTGGAACTGCTTTTCCATTTCTGTGCTTAAAACTTTCTTAAACATTTCCTGATGGGCTGGTTTGGAAGTGCCATATTCTCTTAGGGATTGGATGTCTGGGAAGGATTAGCATGGCAAGGTTGGAAATTATTGGCTGGGATTGTTTTTTCTTTAAGAATGTTAAAGATGAGACCATAGTCCTTTCTGGCTTGTAAAGTTTCTGCTGAGATGTCTACTGTAATTCTTATGGGTCTTCCTTGATAGATAGTCTATTCCTTCTCTCTATCTGCCTTTAGGGTTTTTTTCTTTCATACTCACCTTGGTGAGACAGATTATTATGTGCTTTGGGGATTGTCTTCTTGTGTAATACCTCATATGAATTCTTGGAATCTCTTGTGTCTACATGGAAGCCTCTCCAGCAAGTTAAGGAAGTTTTCTTGGATGAAAAGTTGGAAGGTTTGTTCCAGGGTGTTCTATTTTCCCCTTCCCTCTCAGAAATTTTATTCAGTCATATATTTGGTCTCTTTACATAAATCCCAGACCTCTCATAGGCTTTGTTTATTCTTCCTAAGATTTTTCTTTTTGTTTTTGTCAAACTGAGTTAGTTCAATAATTCAATCCACAAACTCTGAGATTCTTTCATCTGCCTCAACAGTTCTGCTGTTGAGGCTTGTTATTGTGTTTTGAAATTCTAGGAGAGAATTCTTCATGTCCAGAAGTTCAATCTGCTTCTTTCTTAGAATGATCAGGTCAGCTTTCACTTCCTGCGCTGTTTTCATGGCCTGGGTGATTTGTGTGTCCACCTTCTTGTGGATCTCATTGAGTGTCTTTGCCATCCATAGTCAGAATTTTTTTTTTTTGAGTTGGAGTCTCACTCAGTTGCCCAGATTGGAGTGCAGTGGCCACTCCCGGCCACTGCAGCCTCGACCTGCTGGGCTCCAGTGATCCTTCCACTTCAGCCTTCCAAGTAGCTGGAACTACAGGCACGCGCTACCACGCCCGGCTAATTTTTTGATTTATTGTAGAGATGAGGTCTCACTGCCCCAGGCGGGTCTCGAACCCGCGGGCTCAGGCAATCCACTCACCTCAGCCTCCCAAAGTGCGGGATTACAGGCTGAGCCACCGAGCCCGGCTATAGTCAGAATTTTATGTATGTCATCTGGGACATGTCATTCTGGATGGGTTCCATTGCTTAGGATCTGGGAGACTTCTTTGTGGGTGTTGACTCATTAAGATTTGGGGATTGCTAGAGTTTTTTTTTTTTTTGGTTCTTCCTCATCTGTAAGGGCAGATTTTTCTCTTTTTATTTGTTATTTTTATTATTTTTTATTAACAACATGTGCTACTATTGGTGTGGCAGGTTTTGTTTGTTTGTTTATTTTTAGCCTGACCTCTCTTCTCTGGTCTGCCTGTGGGAGGTGCAAAGGTGGCAGGAAGGGGGGGCGAACTAGGGGGAAACCATCTGACATTGCTTTACTAGTGCAGTCTGGCGGGGATGGAGCAAGTTCTTTCCTCTAGTTCAGAGGCTTTCTCCTCCCTCCAGCACAGATGCAGAGGCCCTGGCTTTCTAGTAGCTCAGTAGCTCCTTCCCCAACTCATGTGTCTTATCAGCAGGATTAGGAGGCAACCTGAAGGGGCCCATGCACAGGTGCTCTTGGGAGCATGGAGTGGCCTCCTCCCTTCCAGACAAGACTGACCCTTTTGCTCAGGAGTAGAAGGAAAGCAGTTGTCTTGTTAGTGGAGAGTTGGTATTTTTCCCTCAATCAGCAGGTGGGTGGGCAGCTGCCATAGCGCTCTGTAGAGGTGCACCGCCTCCCAGTTCTCACCTCCATTGTAGGGGCTATGGCAGTGATGATGGCTTCCTGAGGACAAGCTGCTTGCTCAGGGCTGGAGAGGGAGGAAGGGGGAGTGCCCACACAGTTCAGACCCCCCTCACAGTGTGTTTCCCACAGAGCCTCTCTGTGGAGGCAGGGTTGGTGGGCACCAGGGCTGGTGCTCACTGGAAACTCGGGCTCCTCGGGTTCCATGTGGATACTATTAGTGCCTTTGGCCCAATGCTGGGCAGTTCTCTCTACCTGGCTGGTATGGGAGGGGTGCAGGGGACAGGCCTGTACTGTCTCTCTTTTGGCTGAAACTGCAGAGGCTAGTGTGAAGTGTGTTAAAAAAAATAAATAAATAAAAAAGCTATTGCATTTACTTACTCCTTTCTTCTCCAAGAGTGCTCTTCTGATCTCCTGAGGGCACTGCTTCTACGGGTGACTGGGGCTTGGAACTGTCCATTTTCTGTATCCTCAATAAGTTTTAGATGGGTTGTCAGGCTGACTCTCAAAGTCCTAGGTCTACTCCTCTAATTATAATTCTTTGCTGAAGGCACAATCATGCTGTGTCTTCAGTCGGCCATCTTGGCCCTCCTTCTGAAATTTGTATAAATAAGCATTTAACTTAGTGTCATATGTGAGCATATTTGTTATCCATTAAGTACTCATTAAAGATTGGTTCAAACAGTGGAATAGTCATCTTACATTTGAAATGGAATATGTGAAATCAAAATCATGTTAAATACTTAGGAAGGCTGGGCTCGGTGGCTCAGCCTGTAATCCCAGCATTTTGAGAAGCCGAGGCAAGTGGATTGCCTGAGCCCGTGGGTTTGAGACCAGCCTGGGCAACTTGGCGAGACCTCATCTCTACAATTAAAAAAAAAAAATTAGCTAGATGTGGTAGCATGCGCCTATAGTTCCAGCTACTTGGAAGGCTGAGATAGAAGGATCGCTGGAGCCCAGCAGGTCAATGCTGGGGTGGCTGTGAGTGCGCCACTGCACTCCAACCTGGGCAACGGAGTGAGACTCCAACTATATATATACATATTTTTTAACAAAAAAGATAAATTTCTCAAATCTGTGCAACCCTAACCCAACCCTAACCTTAGCACTAGCCCTAACCCTCATTCTAGCCCTAAATAAGCCCACTTACCCTTACCATAACCTAACCTTAACCCTAGCCACATAACCATAATCAGTGAATAAATTTTAAGTATTCTTACCACACTAAGTATCTAAAGTAATGCATATGTTAATTAGCTTGATTTAGCCATTTTACAATGCACACACATTTCAAAACAACATGGTGTATACCATAAATAGACACAATTTCTAATTTTTCAATTTAAATAAATAGATAAATATATTGAACTAAAAATAATTTATTTCCTTAATTTCCTAAGGCAATGTAAGTATGTTGTGGCTGTTTGAAAAACTAGTTTTATAATTCAGAGTTTCTAACAACTTGCAACCCAACTCTCAGTACAATATTATGACTAGAGTGAGTGCTTAATAACTGTGTTTGAAGTGTATAATTCTTATGATTTGAGTTATCTACTGAATCTAGCTACCTCTGAGGTAGCTGGGAAAGAGAAGAAAGACTTCCAGGTTCACTTCTGGAGGAGTTTCTTCTTTTGCTTTCACAGTAGAGCAGGAATAACACTTCCATCTACATGCCATTCCAAAAGATGTGTTCGTCTATTGACTTTCTTGTTGCCTTTTCCTTTGATCATTGACTCATATTGGCTTTTCCCTGACACTTATGCCATTGATGTCCCCATCCCACCTTGTCTTTTCTGATATTGTTGTGGGTTGCTTGAAATTAAACTTACCAGCTGGGCTCGGTGGCTCAGCCTGTAATTCCACGCTTTGGGAGGCTGAGGTGAGTGAACTGCCTGAGCCCGCGGGTTCGAGACCCAACTGGGCAACTTGGTGAGACCTCAACTCTACAATAAATCAAAAAAATTAGCCGGGCATGGCAGCACGCGCCTGTAGTTCCAGCTACATAGAAGGCTGAGGCGGAAGGATCGCCGGAGCCCAGCAGGTGGAGGCTGCGGTGGCTGGGAGCAGCCGCTGCACTCCACTCTGGGCGACAGATTGAGACTCCAACTCAAAAAAAAAAAAAAAAAGTAAAAGAAATTAAACTTACCTAAGGTCCAATGCCCAGAAGAAATTTAAACATTCTAACAGCTCACAAGAACCTTTTTTTCCTGAAGCTTCTCTTTCTATCTTTTTTTTTTTTTAAATTTTTTTATTATAAAGATGTGGGGTACAATTCAGGATTAGGTATACAAACATTGATTATGCAGGTACCCTTGTTGATGAGGTATATGCCTCCCTCCCCTAGCAGTTTCCCTCAACTGCCACTCCCACTCCCCTCCCCTGACAGTTTCCCATTACTGCCAAATGCTTTCTTATAGCATTATAATTGTTCAAGGTCCATTTATGAGTGAGAACAAATGGAATTCTGTTTTTTGTTTCTGTGATAGATCACTGAATATGATCAACTCCAAATCCATCCAAGTTGCTGCAAAGTCCATATATTTGTCCTTCTTTTATGGCTGCACAATATTCCATTATGTATATTACCACATTTTCTTTATCCAGTCCACCTTCGACGGGCAGCATGGTTGGTTGGTTCCATGTTTTTGCTATTGTGAATAGAGCTGCAACAAACATACGTGTGCAGATATCTTTTTTGTAGAATGATTTCAGTTCCTCCAGGGAATTGCTGGGTCATAAAAAAAAAAAAAAAAAAAGTGGGCGAAAGACATGAATAGACACTTCTCTTTCTATCTTTTTAAAGTCACCACCAACTGGAGGACTGCCCCCAGACTGCAGCAAGTGTTGTCATGGAGACTATAACTTTCGAGGCTACCAAGGCCCCCCCGGCCCGCCAGGCCCTCCTGGCATTCCAGGTAAGGATGACCGAGATATATTGTTAGTCTAATTGTAGACTGTGTCAACATAGAAGCCAAGGGCAAACTGAAATAACGAGATCACTCTGTGTGATCCCAAGGATATGCATGGAAAACCCAAAAGCCAGAGAGTTGTTTTTGGTAGGGCAGGGGAGCTGGGTTTATTAAGCCAGTTTAGGTAGAACAATATACTTAATATGACAATTAAGTTCACGAACTCATCCCAGAAAACGTGCCACATACCTCATTGCTGAATATCAATATGGTCACCTTCAAAGTACTCCCCTTGGGAAACTATGCACTAATGCCAGCTCCTAGTCCATCCATCAAAGCAATTTTAGAACTCTTTTTCTGGAATGACCATCAGAGCTATCGTTGTATTACCCTTGATGTCCTGAATGTTATCAAATGTCTTCCTTTAAATATTTCCTTTATCTTTGGGTAAAGAAAAAAGTAATTGGGGGCCAGCTTAGGTGGGTAGGGAGGGTGTTCCAATACAGTTATTTGTACAGTGCTAGTCAATGTAAGTACACGGTGGCAAGTTCGTGAACTTAATTGTCAGACCTCAACAAATAACAATGATAGCCCTGATGGCCATTCCAGAAAAAAAGTTCCCAAATTGCTTCGATGGGTAGACTAGGTGCTGGCATCGATAGCTTCCCAAGGGGAGTGCCCTCAAAGGTAACTACAGTGATACTCAGCAATGAGGTCTATGTAGCACTTTTTCTAGTATGGTTCACAAGCCTAATTGTTGGACCTCATAAACTCCATAGTATTTATTCTCTACAGACTCCACTAAGCTCTAGGCCTCCTGAGTTACCATAAGTTTATAGGCTGAGAGTCTCTTCACCAGCATTGAGTCTGAAACTACTAGATCTTAATTGGTACAAATTCTTAGTTCCAGTATTTCTGTCACAGCATGTTTTCTACGGTACACTACATCTAGGTTTCAGGGATTTATGAGGCAGAGCAGGGAGTGGAGAGCTTACTAGTCTGGGTTACAGCAACAGATTCTCACTGAGCCGTGCAATCTTATGTGTGACTCTAGGTCCAGCTAAATGCTTCTTCCCCCAGTCTCAGGTTCTCTACATGTTCAGCTGTCTCTCAGTTGACTCTCATTCTCTCTTGGACCATTGAAACATTTTTAGACTCCAGCACCACAGTGTGGCATGGAGAATGCTTCGGAGTGACATTGAGACCCTCTAGACCCATAGTTCATCCACCTTTGTTTATTCTGCCTGTACCTTCAGGCTTAGGGCTGTTCTGGGAGTTGCTGGTACCCTGGGTCAGTCCAGGCCCCTCTATCCTAGGATTCCTGAAGCTATCCGGGGTCTTATTGTCTTCCTACTGCTCAGGTCAATTCCTGGGGATAGGGCGTCATTTCAGTGTTTGACCTAAGTCCATTTGCTCTTCTCTAACTTATCTCCTTGGGTGTTAATATTTATAAAATATGGTTTAATGTTTTTCTACTTTGGGGTGGCTTCTCAAACAAAACCAAAATTATAATTAGAAAATATTCAGTTAGACTTTAAACTTTGATTAGTGACTTGGAATCTATACCATTGTCCATCAAGGGCACAGGTGCAGTAATGTAGGGTAGGGGACATTTAGACTATTCTGAAATTTTTTCAGGTCTCAACTCTTCTGAGGTTATAGGACCGGCTGACCTTTGTTAAATGTTTTTCATCAGGAAATGGCTGTGTTACTAAATTTCAACTTATAAACACAAAGTTCATCCATTTGGAAGAACTGCAAGCCTGAGATGACACCTAATCAAAGGTACCATGCAAAATAAACAGCAAAAGGACCTGAAATTCAGCAAATATAAAAATAAGGAAGTGGTGTAGAATTTAGTAGCAAAGTGAAGAGTTGAAATTGTTATCCAACTCTTGCTTCCAAAAATCATTGTTATGTTTTCTTTATCAGTGAGTTTACTTTTCCCCAGTTATGTGTCCTTTGTAGAAAACTTCAAAGAGACAGGAAAATATGTAGATTGACCCCAAATCACCCATGTTTCATCTATTTCAAAAAGAACTGGGGTAACTCCTTCAGGTCCCCTCCCACTGTGGGAACTTTTCTGTCCTCTCAATAAATCCTGACTTCTAAAAAAAAAAAAAGAGCCACTGCAAACATTTTAATGTAATTTAGTCTTTTCACCCCCATGGATATTATATATGTATGCATATATACAAACAAAAATAGTATCATGGTCTTTCTATTTATTCATATTTTTAAAAATCTAAAATACCTTGAAAATCACTATGTAATAAAGTATTCATTTACTAGTAACATGCCATTTTAAAAAACTTAGTCCTTCCAGTATTGGTGGATATTTAGGTGCTTCTAATCTTTGCTATTTTAAATGATAATGTGATCATTAGTCTTCTATATAATTTTTTTAAATCCAAGCCCTGCTTTGTAGGGTAAGTAGACTTCGGAGTCTTAGGTTATCCAAGGCTATTTTCAGAGTCTAGTGGCCCATTTAAAAGAGGTCCCACTTGATGATGTCCTTTGGCTGTATTTAAGATTATTTCAAATTGTCCCTTTTACAACTGAGTTTGGACAGTGTGTCTGAAAATAGATGGTGAGTTTGAGAGACTGGATTTTCTCATGTGATGGTGTCTGGTTGTTTAAGGAAACCATGGAAACAATGGCAATAATGGAGCCACTGGCCATGAAGGGGCCAAAGGTGAGAAAGGCGACAAAGGTGACCTGGGCCCTCGAGGGGAACGGGGCCAGCACGGTCCCAAAGGAGAAAAGGGCTACCCAGGGATTCCTCCGGAACTTCAGGTAAAACTTCCTCGGCACATCTCCATGTGACTTCTAAGCCTGCCTGGCCACAAACAGCCAGGAATGAGAAGGTTTGAGTGCTTCTTCAAGACTTGAGTCTTGAACATATACTCAGTCTAGAGTATATCTGAGTCTCCATTTTTTCATCTACACCACAGGATGTTGCTTAAGGCCTATACTGTCCAAACAGTGTTTCACTCTTAGGGAAGAAAGATATTTTTGAGAATGAAACACAACTCCTTCAAAGGACCAAATCCAAAGCAACTCTGAATACAAACACATCTCCTGTTTTCCAAATGAGAAGATATGTTAAATAAAAAAGATTTTGGCCAACTTCAATATATAAATGTTTTGATAAAGTGAATGGTGAAGTGTCTACTTATAATATTTTATTGATTAACTTTGTTACATTTATGTATTTAAATCACATGCATGGGTATTAACACAATATATGTTGTTTTCTCTCAACTCAGATTTTGTGTTATAATTTTTATGTAAACTTTTTTGTTAGTATTTTCTTTATCGCTAGAGACTTTTTATTCTAAAGTCATCCATTTAGTGTTCCAGACCAGATTATATTCATTTCCAGTTTTAAAAATCCATTTTAGTTTTTTTCCCCATTTTTGAGGTTATAACTATGCATTTTATTCCAAGCTCAAGTGTTCACTTATGTATTCTTTTTCTCTTTAATATGACATTTAAAATTCTTGTTGCCAATAGTATCTTCACCTTGTAAATGGAAGGTTAGGTCACCAAGAAAAATAGCAAAGTCTAGGTTGACTTTTTTTTTCTCTTGGCCAATATTTTGAGATTGATTATTCTAAGATATTTTTAATCAACATTGACAACTAGCATTTTAAAAATTGAGTTTGTTTCTAGCTAATGTCTTCTCTAAATAGTAACTTGTAGTTAAAATAAAATAATTGAGAGAAAAGCATGTAACATGACAGATTTTAAAGGATTAGAATATAAAGTACCTCTTGTTTGCAAGATCAATTGGGGGCAATTTTTGCCTTTCATTTGGACATAGATGGTGGTTGCTTGACTATGAGTAAGTTTAATCTTTTCTGGATCTTAATATTTTCAAGTTTACAATAATTTGAACAGTTAATGTGTTATCCTAACTGCATTTTATAACTTTTTTTTTTTTTTTTTTGAGTTGGGGTCTCACTCTCTCACCCAGACTGGAGTGCAGTGGCATGATCATGGGTCACCACAGCCTCGACCTACTGGGCTCAGGCTATCTTGGCCTCCTTAGTAGCTGGGACTATAGGCATGCACCAACATGCCAGGGTAATTATTTCATTTTTTTGTTGAGATGAGATCTTGCTATGTTGCCTAGGCTGGGGTTTTTGTAACTTTTTAATGAATGCTGTCTAATGATTTCAGCAACTTGGGATCCATGTATTTGTATATATTTACAAAGAAAAGGAGGGAGTTGCCACTCAGTCAGATTAAGATGGATGATAAATATCTCAAAACTAGAAACTTGAACTCAGAATCTATGAATGGTTAAACCCTGGTGAAGGGGCTCTGGGGTACCCGGTTTAATAGAAAACACCTGAGGAAATTATAACATTTGCACCATCAGCTATTTTACCTTAAAGCCACAATGCAATCGTTTGGGTCTTAGGAAGATTGTGAAGGAGGTGACTTCACATTCTTTAAGGACAAATAATCCCAGCAAGTTAAGAATTTATTGATCTGATTCACACTCAGTGACTCATTTGGACAAGAAATTAGCTTTGACTTTCAAAGCTCATCCTCCAATGGGGGTTTCAAGCAAAAGCATTTATTTTTAAAAATTTATTATTATTATTTTTTTTAAAGATGTGGGCTACAATTCAAGGTTAGGTATACAAATGTTCATTATGCAGGTACCCTTGTTAACGAGGTTGAGGCCACCATGCCTGGGAAATTATTTATTTATTTATTCATTTTTAGAGATGGGGGTGTCTCACTATGTTGCCCAACCTCCCCTGGCAGTTTCCCTCAACTGCCAATTCCACCCCCCACCCCCCACTGGTAGTTTCCCACTACTGCCAATTCCCAAAAGCATTTCTTGACTGACAGAATTGTCCTAAGGCTGTTTGAATTATTATTAACATTTTGTGTTTTGAACTTCAGTCCTGTCTTTGGACATCAGTATACAGGCGTAGTGACAATAATAACAGTAGTAGCAGAAGGAGGAGGAAGAGAAATAATAGTAGTACCCCATTTTCCACTTAAAAGAAAGAGAAATTTGAGGCTAAAATATTAAATGACTTGCCAAGTGATACAGAATTAATAAAGCCGGAACTCAATATCCTATCTTTGGACCAAAGTAGGTAGTTTTCTTCCCAAACTCACAGAGCCTGTCAGTTGTTGCCAGGAACAGGTTTCTTAAATTAATTCTCTTCACTGATATTTTACTGACTAAGCAGAAGCTTTCAAAGTTCCATAAAAGGTTACACATAAAGTATTTGTAACAAGTCCCAGGAGTGGCTTCTCTGACTCTCCTAAATCTAAATATACTCTTTTAAATGACATTCTAAAATGCAAAATCATGCCCAGAAAATTTTGTTGTTCTAATATTCAAGTACATTGCTAGTTTTTGTTGTTGTTGTTTTGAGTTGGAGTCTCACTCTGTCACCCTGCTGGGCTCCAGTGATCCTTCCGCCTCAACCTTCCAGGGAGCTGGAACTACAGGCATGCACTACCACGCCTGGCTAATTTATTTTTTGAATTATGGTAGAGATGAGGTCTCGCCAAGTTGCCCAGGTGGGTCTCGAACCCGCGGGCTCAGGCAATCCTTTCACCTCAGCCTCCCAAAGCGTGGGATTACAGGCTGAGCCACTGAGCCCGGCTACATTGCTAGTTTTACAAATCATTTCTTAAATTTTAGATAACAGAAACTTTCCTTTTTGCCTTATAAAGATAATTTACCTGAGGTCTTTTTATTGTCAAAAAAAGCAAAAACAGCTGTGCAAAAAATAATAAGATATATCCAGAGGTGATTATTCTTAACATATGTTTAAATAACTTTTCAGATTTATGTGTACTTATACACACATATAACCTTTAAATATGGTGGGATCATATGATACATATTATTCCTTTATTTCATGAATGACAATATGTCCTGAACACCTCTTTATGTAAATAAATACAATTTTATACCTTTAAAATCAATATATATATATTTTTTTCTGTGTGTAAAATTAGGCTGGTCAAAGTGGTGGCTCACACCTGTAATCCCAGCATGTTTGAAGGTTGAGATGGGAGGATTTCTTGAGGCCAGGAGTTCAAAACCATCCTGGGCAACATAGTGAGACACCCCCATCTCTAAAAATGAATAAATAAATAAATAATTGCCCAGGCATGGTGACCAGACCTATCGTTCTAGCTAGAGGATCAAGGAGTATCTCTTGATCCCAGGAGTTTGAGGCTACACTGAGCACCACGGTACTCTACCATGGGTAACAGAGAGAGCCGTGTCTCTAAAAAAGAAATCAAATAGATAACATTAAATTAATATGTGCTCATTTGAAAATTATAGGTGTAATGAAGAAAGAAAAAAATTCCCATGAACCTACGACTGAGTGAGACCCGCTGTTAATAATTTTGTGGATATTCTTGCAGATAGTTAGTTTCCTCAGTTTGCCCACACATTTAGCAAAATCTGGCATTGGGCCATAACAGTTGCCTGCTTTTTAAGTAAACAATGTACTAAGAACGTTTTCCCATTTTGAATATACATATATAATAAACATAATATATATGTACTTTACTTTTAAGTTGGCATCAAGGATTTACCAAGTGTATTCAAAGATTGTATCCCATAAAAATGGGAAGACATCTTTAGGGAAAAAATAAGGCAAGGTTAACAAAATTAAAATATTTTTTGACCACAGCGTTTCTCAGATTCTTGAATATGTGAATGTGTATTTAATAGCTACAAACAAAAAATTTTACCTAATTTTCCAATATTATTTGATAATAGCATTTTAATATTTCAAAAAGTGTTTAAAAGACTAGTGATCTTTGAAACATATGTTCAGAACTATTGATTTACATTATCATTCTAATAGATTCTTTCTCCATAGATTTTTTCTTCCTTTCTTTCTCCATCGATTGATGTTTAAGTTATTTCCAATTTTACTGTTACAAACAATATTACAATAAACTTACCTGTATAAAAACATTATTTCTTTAAGATAAATTACCTGTTAATTGGCCACCAATTCTTTCCTTAGATTGCATTCATGGCTTCTCTGGCAACCCACTTCAGCAATCAGAACAGTGGGATTATCTTCAGCAGTGTTGAAACCAACATTGGAAACTTCTTTGATGTCATGACTGGTAGATTCGGGGCCCCAGTATCAGGTGAGATGTAAAAATAAATGAATGATTGAATTAATATAGCACTCAAAGAAAGGAAGGAAGGAAGACACTAGTTAGTTAAAATTTCTTTTTGAATCAGGTTAAAACAAACAGCTCATACAGATTTTTGTTGAATTTCAAAGTAAATGAATTAGAATCTGAAAAGACAAAACACCTTTAAAGATGATGACCATAGTTATTAAGATTATTAGTTCTAGCGGGCTCGGTGGTTCAGCCTGTAATCCCACACCTTTGGGAGACTGAGGTGAGTGGATTGCCTGAGCCCGCAGGTTCGAGACCCACCTCGGCAACTTGGCGAGACCTCATCTCTACAATAAATTAAAAAAATTAGCTGGGTGTGGTAGCGTGCGCCTGTAGTTCCAGCTACTTGGAAGGCTGAGGCGGAAGGATCAACGGAGCCCAGCAGGTTGAGGCTGCGGTGGCTGGGAGCGGCCACTGCACTCTAGTCTGGGCGACAGAGTGAGATTCCAACTCAAAAAAAAAAAAAGATTATTAGTTCTTATTTGAACTGAACCAAATAATCCCTAAGAGGGCATAGTTACCTTTGATATGAAAAATCCTCAGAAAACAATTCTCATAGTTTAAATGTGCCATCACTGTGTCCTTTCTTTGCTACCACCCCAAGGGGTGCCTGATGTTATATTTTTGTTTAAAAAATGGAGTAGGTAATATGCTTACATATTTTAAAAATGAAATCTGTTTGCAAGTATATTTTCTCTCCTTGCTTTATATAAAAGCCAGCATACTCTACGATCTGACTATACTTTGCTTTTTTTTAAAAAAAAAAAGCCTAACAATATATTTTATAAATCTTTTCATATCATTATTTCATTCTTATTTATAGATGGATGTACCAAAGTATATTCAATCATTTCCCTATGTTTTTTTTCCTTTTTGTTATTAAAAACATAGCTACAATGAAGAACTTTCAATATACCAGTTTGTAACTGAGCTCTTACAGGTACATTTGTAGGTGAAAGTAGCAGGAATACGATTGCCAAGTCTCAGTGAACATATCTGTAAGTTTAATCATTTTGCCAAATTGCTTCTTGTAAGGGTTGTATCAGTATACTTCTATTGTCAAGGTATCAGAGCACTTTCCTGATTGTTTCATAATCAAGGTGTGCTTTCAAATTTCTGGACACTTGATAGATAGAAAGTGGTATTTTAAAAAACATTTTATTTCTTTAAAGTTAAAATTTTTTTTATTATAGAAGTGTGGGGTACAAGTAAGGATTAACTATATAAGTAGACCGCATGCAGGTGAAGTTGGGGCCTCCAACTGGTCCTCACTCCCCTGGGTATAGAACCAGGTACCTTTGTGTTTTTACATGCCCTCTCTTCCTCTTTCCTTCCCCTTGCAGTGCCCAGTGACTGCCGATCCCTCCCTTTTGCTATTATGATTAATGTTCAGGGCTCGCTTATGAGTGAGAACATGTGGTATTCAGTTCTTTGTATCTGTGATAGATCACTTAGTATGATGGTCTCCAACTTCATTCAATTTTCTGCAAAGTCCATGATTTTGTTCTTCTTTATTACTGTGTAATACTCCATTGTATATATGTAACACATTTTCTTTATCCAGTTCACTTTCAGTGGGCAGTAGTGTTGGTTTCATATTTTTGCTATTGCAAATAGTGTGGCAATAGCGTGCAGGTGTCTTAAAAAACTTTTTACTTTGAAATGATTTTAGACATATAGAAGAATTACATAAATATTATAAAGTTTTCATATTCCCTCTAACCAGCTTGCCCTGCTGTTAACATTTGCATAACCAAAGTGCAACTGCTAAAATAAAGAAATGAACAGAGATACAACACTGTGACTAAATTATGGAATTTATTCAGATTTCATCAGGTTTTCCTAATATCTCAGTTATTAGTTCCTTGTCTTATCTGACCATTCTACCATGAGTTCATGCATTTTGTTTTGTAATGTTCTTTACTAGAAGTTTTTGCTTCATTCATTTATTTTAAATTCATAGCTACATTTTTTGATTTTTTTCCTTTCTTTTTTTGAGTTGGAGTCTCACTCCGTTTCCCAGGCTGGAGTGCAGTGGCATGCTCACGGCCACCCCAGTGTCAACCTACTGGGTGCCAGTGATCCTTCTGCCTCAGCCTTCTAAGTGACTGAAACTATAGGTGTGCGCTACCATGCCCAGTTAATTTTTTATTTATTGTAGAGACAAGGTCTTGCTAAGTTGCCTGGGACTGGTTTTGAACAAACGGGCTCAGGCAATCCACTCGCCTCGGTCTCCCAAAGTGCTGGGATTTCAGACTGTCATTGAACCCAGCCTCTTTTTTTATTTCAGTATCTTTGGGGGATGCAAATATTTTTTGGTTTGGGCTTTAAGAGTACCCACCATCTCCACCTGTGCATATTGTAACAAATGGGTGATTTTTTTTTTTGTCCCTCTTTCCCTTCCCCTGCTCTTCCTTCCGAGTCTCCAGTGTTCATTATACTATTCTCTATTTTGCATATCTTTAGCTCCCACTTATAAGTGAGAACGTGTGGTGTTTGGTTTTCTGTTCCTGAGTTCATTTAGGGTGATGTTCTCCAATTCCATCCAAGTTGCAGCAAAAGACATTATTTAATTCTTTTTGATAGCTGAATAGTATTCCATAGTGTATACATACCACATTTTCATTATCCACTGATTGGCTAATGGGCATTTAGGTTGATTCTCCATCTTTGCAATTGTGAATTGTGCTGTGATGAATACGCAGGTGCAGGTTACTTTGTTATGTAATGACTTCTGTTCCTTTGGGTAGTGGAATTGTTGGATCAAATGGTAAATCTACTTTTAGTTCTTTGAGAAATCTCCATACCAATTTCCATAGAGGTTGTACTATGGAAACATATATTAATGTTTCCTTTTCTCTGCAGCCATACCGGCACATATTGGTTTTTGATTTTTTATTAATGGCCTTTCTTAGTGGTGTAAGGTGGTATCTCATTGTGGTTTTAATTGGCATTTCCTTGATGATGAATAATGTTAAACATTTTTTCATGTGTTTGTTGATCATTTGTATATCTTCTTTTGAAAAATATCTATTCATGGCATTTGCCCACTTTTTTTTTTTTTTTGAGTTGGAATCTCATTCTGTTGCCCAGGCTGGAGTGCAGTGGTACACTCGTGGCCACCCCATTGTCAACCTGCTGGGCTCCAGCAATCCTTCCATCTCAGTCTTCCAAGTAGTCGGAACTGCAGGTACGCACTACCATGCCTGGCTAAGTTTTAAAATTTATTTATTGTAGAGATGAGATCTCGCCAAGTTGCCTGGGCTCATCTAGAACCCATGGGCTCAGGCAATCCACTCGCCTCGGCCTCCCAAAGTTGCTGGGATTATAGGCTGAGACACTGAGCCTGGCCTGCCTATTTTTTAATGGGACTGTCTGCTTTTTTCCCTGCTGATTTGTTTGAGTTCTTTGTAGATTCTGGATATTAGTCCTTTGTCAGATTTTAGTTTGCGAATATCTTCTTCCATTCTGTAAGTTGCTTATTTGCTCTGTTGATGATTTCTTTTGCTGTGCAGAAGTTTTTTATTTTAATTAAGTCCCACTTGTTTATTTTGTTGTAGTTACATTTGCTTTTGGAGTTTTAGCTGTAAGTTCTTTGCCTAGGCTGATGTCCAGTAGAGTTTTTTCCTAGGTTTTCTTTGAGAATTTTTGTGGTTTCAGGTCTGACATTTAAGTCTTTGATCCATTTAGAATTAATTTTTATATATGGGGAGCAGTAGGGATCAAGTTTCATTTTTCTGCATGTAGTTATTCAATTTTTCTAGCACCATTTGTTGGATAGGGTATCTTTACCCCAGTGTATGTTTTTGATTGCTTTGTCAAAGATCAGCTGATTGTAGGTATTTGGGTTTATTTTTGGATTCTCTATTCTGTTCCAATGGCCCATGTATCTGCTCTTGTATCAGTACCATGCTGTTTTGATTACTACAGCCTTGTAGTATAATTTAAAGTCAGGTAATGTGATGCCTCCAGCTTTGTTCTTTTTGCTTAGGATTGCTTTGGCTATTCTGGTTCTTTTTTGGTTCCATGTGAATTTTAGTATTGTTTTTTCTAATTCTGTGGAAAATGACATTGGTAATTTGATAGGGATTGCATTGAATCTGTAGGCTACTTAGGGTAATATGGTCATCTTAACAATGTTGATTCTTCCAACCCATGAGCATGGGATGTGTTCTATTTGTGTCTCTGCAGTTTCTTTCATAAGAGTTTTGTAGTTCTCTGTGATCTGAATGTCAGAATGCAGCTGGCCTCAGGGTCCCAGGTGTTCTCAGGCAACCTGCCCAGTCAGGAACTCTCTGCAGCTACAAAGTTTGCCCCAGGGCCATCTCCTCCCAGGCCAGCTGGAAAGCAGCTGCACCAACTACTAGAGTTGAGTTCCTGGGAAATGGCAGCTGGCACTGCTTAAGACTTTTTTCCCGTACCACTCCACAGCAGAGCACAGCTGTGGATAAGGCAGTTTCCTGTAAGGGACTAGAGTCCTGCTAGGCTCAGGGGACCCTGCAAATTTGTGTCAGGAGTACAGAACTCCTGAATTTCCCTCACTCATCTTCCCCACTGTATCTGGAAGCTGTGGTGGACTGTGTTGGTGCAGGCAAGAGTCTGGCCAGTTCTAGCCCAGGTCAATGGATTTTTTCTTCTTCTTTGCTCTAAGTGGTTATTATCACTCCTTTGGAGAGTCATGGGGTGTGCTGCTGGTTCCATTCCTCTCTGGGTGCTGAAGAAACTCTGTCTTGTTTTACTCTGTAGGAGAAACTTATTCTAGCTACCTCATGTCAGTCATCTTAATCCTATCTGTACAGCTACATTTTTCATCTACTACATAACAGCATTTCTTCTTGCAGAATATTGCTCACCTGTTGAGGTCATTTTAGTTATTCTTTTCTACTTTTAAAAATTAACTGACGATTGAATAAGTTGGATTTTCCTAGACCAGCTATATGCTATAGTTTCTTGGGAATAAAGGACCAGGGCAGCCTTCCAGGCTTAATAACTCAATGACTCCCTCCACTGCTCCCAAAACGCAGGCTGATTCTTTTAAATGGGCCCCTCAGTGTGTTTCCCTGGGTGGTCATACTTTCTCTACCTCCCCAGACGGCACTGGGCCCAGGAAGGCTTCTGAAACTGGCCTTGCTCTTGACTTTAAGAGACTTTTTTTTGGCTAACAGATTCTGAGATGTGCCACCATAAGTTTGCTTCCCACATACTGTACTTCATCTAGCAACCTTCCCCTCAAAGAGCCTTTTCTTCTGCTCAACCCTGCACACAGGGACTTGTTTTCAGCATCTACACTTCTGAGTGGACCCTCTCCATCAGGGGGGTATTTTTCCAGACAGGGAGGACTTCTGCCATGTGGCCTTCTTAGAACCCCAGACCAACACCAGATTGTTTTCATGTGATTCTGTCTGTCCTTGGTTGCATTTGGCAACACTTACAAGTATTTTGAAATTTACTGTTTTCTTTTTCAAGTCTCCTAGTTTTGCAATATATATATGTGTGTGTATATTTATTTTGTTTTTGTTTTTCAATCTCCTTGTTTCTCTATATGGTATACAGAAAGAAAAAGAAAAAACTTCTGATGGGTGCTGTGACCATATAAAATATGTCACAAATGCTTATAAATGTGTGCCTTGATTTATTTTTTCTACCCAGCTTAAGTAAGTAACAAACTGACATATAAACTAATAAAAGCAATCTTTTATCATGCTGCAATCAGCTTTGAATGTTATGTTATAATTTTCTATAACTACTTTGTTAAATGCGGTGCCACAGATTCTTAGTGCCTAGATATACCCTGTCAATGGTTCCATGGAGTTCAATGGCTTTATAATTGAAGACTAAGGATTTAGTTTTTTAGAACTCTCTTGGACTGGACATTATTGCAATAGTAACAGCTATCATTTGGCACCCACAGTTTACTGTTTCATCCTCATCCAATAGATTGCAAAAAGAACATTTTATTCTTTCAACTTTGGAAATGATGAAACAGAGAAGGTTCCTTTTTGCAATTACAGCAACATGAAGCCCTGAAAGCCATAGTACAAGTACAAGTGTGTTGTCCCTGCTTTCAGTACCGTCTCTTGCATAGGAAAGTCACAGGTGGATATAATACATAGTCACTTCTGTATTTTCAACTCTAGATGTTTCATTTATTCACCATTTGACTTTTTGGTTTACTCTTCCTAACATGGTTTTGCAATCTTTTTAAAAATAGTATTCATTATTTTGGGGGAAAACTATTATATTTTCTTGTCATTTTGATTCCCGCTTTATCTCTTGAGGTATTGAAAATTGTCGTGTGTGTGCCTAATATGAAATTTTATAAAATGTGAAAAATTAAGTGCATATAATCTACTTTCTTTGAGTCCTTTAATTTTTATCTGCCTTTACTTTTCATCTGTGGGCCAAATTCTAGGCATATGAATGGGTGTGGTAGATTTTTGTACAATTTTCCCTATTCCCAGAGCATTGAGCATGCATTTTGGCACTAGAAAAGCATACTTCTTCATTTGGTTCTACTTGACTCAAAATCAGATGGATTAACATGGCATGCTTACAGTTCTTTCTTTCTTTTTTTTTTTTAATGAAAAAGCAGGATTTATTGAAAGGACAGAAAAACTCCCACAGTGAGAAGAGACCCAAAGGGGTTGACCTACAGTTTCTGTCTTGATTGCACCTTTGGAAAAGAAATAAAACTGTCCAGTGCTTTCTTTTTTTAAAAGATGTTTCTGGGGTTTTGTCTTAAAAGGCCATTAGTTTAAAAATATAACATGGAAATCAATAAGAACTTGATGAATTATGTTAATTCACCTTTCCAAAATGCACACTGAAATGCAAGATCATTTGGAGCTGGGAAAATTTTTCTTTTAGCTTATCTGTCTGCTGTTGGATTCTTTTTCATCATTCAGTGAAAGTATCTTCTGTACTAGCATTTGGAGTACACCAAGCCATATTAGCTTGCTTTCAGTTGAGTTCTAGACTCTTGTGAGAAAATTTAAATCTTTTAAAGTATGTTGGTCTTTTTCAAATCATGAGGATACAGACTTTGGGTGACAACATGCTGTTAATGTGATCTAAATTGGATCTTTCTGTTTATTGTATATAATTTCACTGATGTACAATGGATAACATGAAAAAAATACCAGAACTATTCTTTAGAATTAATAAACATTTATTCTGTGCTTCAGTATTAACTCCTTTGTCTTTGGCTAACCCCTTTGGCAAGCATAGTCATCTGTTGTAATGTATATTTTGTTCATTTTGTTAGGCCATGAAGCACCATGTGCTTATCCACCAGACTTGTCTGTACCTTGTCAAGATGAGTCTTATGATAGATGTCATTGATAGTTAACCCCTACCTAGAAACAGGATGTACTTTGCTCTAAACACTTTGCCAGGGAACAAGGCAGTGAGAAACAGCTAAAATGAGGTAGACTCCTTCCTTAAAGACTCTAAAATTTTTATCAAAGATACACAGTGTATATATTGAGAAAATCTCAAAAAACTTTAAAGCATTTTGAAGATGAGCACATACAGGGACATTCATATAAATAAAGGCCAAGAAGAAACTATATACTATACAGAATGTCAACAAAAGAAGTTGAAATCAGCTGGCATACCTCCAGGTCCTCAAAGTATAATATGTCACTGTAAACATGAATAAATACTTTCTTTTTTCAGGTGTGTACTTCTTCACCTTCAGCATGATGAAGCACGAGGATGTTGAGGAAGTATATGTGTACCTCATGCATAATGGCAATACAGTCTTCAGTATGTACAGGTGGGTGGTCTTTTCTTTTTCTTTTTTTTTTCTTTTTTGAGTTGGAATCTCACTCTGTCGCCCAGACTGGAGTGCAGTGGCCGCTCCCGGCCACCACAGCCTCGACCTGCTGGGCTCCAGTGATCCTTCCACCTCAGCCTTCCATGTAGCTGGAACTACAGGCGCACACTACCACACCTGGCTAATTTTTGATTTATTGTAGAGGTGAGGTCTCGCCAAGTTGCCCAAGCGGGTCTCGAACTCGCGGGCTCAGGCAATCCACTCACCTCAGCCTCCCAAGGAACAGGGTTATAGGCTGAGCCACCGAGCCCTGCTGGTCTTTTCTATCATGGGTCTCATCCATGCTACCAGTGTTTGCTCAAAGGATGCCTGATGACAGGGTACTACATGGGAATCAACAGTTGTGGTCCTTCCCCATTCTCAATGAGAGCCCTTATATAAGAAGATATGGCCACATTGTCATCACTATTTGGGAAGAAATAAATCTGATTAACTTGAGCGTCAGCAGGTTTTTAAAATTTTTATTTTATTTTAAAGATGTGGGGTGCAATTTGGAGTTAAGTATACAAATGTTCATTATGCAGGTACCCTTGTTGATGAGGTGTGCCCTCCCCCTGGCAGTTTCTCTCAACTGCCAATCCCACCTCCCCTCCTCTGGCAGTTTCCCACTACTGCCAGTCCCTTTTTTATAGTATTATGATAATTGTTCAAGGTCTGCTTATGAGTGAGAACATATGGTACTCTGTTCTTTGTTTCTGTGATAGATCACTGAATATGATAGACCCTAAATCCATCCAAGTTGCTGTGAAGTCCATATGTTTGTCCTTTTTTATGACTGCATAGTAATCCATTGTGTATATGTACCACATTTAAAAAAATCCAGTCCAGTGTCAATGGGCAGCATGGTTGGTTCCATGTTTTAAGCATCTGTAGGTTGATGAGAGGCCTTGTGTTAATTACTAGCAGCACTCCCTATAACCAATCATTTGTATTCTTTTCTTAGCTTTCCCCCCCCCATTTCTCTGCTCCTTTTTTCTGCTTTCCTATTCTCTGGTGCCCCTTGCTTAGCTCTGTTTATTTATTTTTGAGTTGGGGTCTCACTCTGTCACTCAGGTTGGAGTGCAGTGGCACAGTCACAGCTCACCATGGCCTTGACCTCCTGAGCTCAGGTAAACCTTATACCCCAGCCTCTCAAGTAGCTGGGACTACAGGTGTGCACCACCACACCTGGCTAATTTTTTAAAATTTTTTTATAGAGATGGGGATCTTACTATGTTGTCCAAGCTGGTGTCAAACTCCTAGGTTCAAGTAATTCTTCTACCTCAGCCTCCCAAAGTGCTGGAATTACAGGTGGGAGTCACCACACCAGGCCTGTTGCCACCATTGCTCTGGGCTGGCAGTTTGAAAGAGTTGGGAGTAGTTACCTTTCCTTAGGTTGTACTGCTCCTCTGATACTTTTTGTAGAAGTCTAACCCTGGGATACTTGGGAAAAAATATTTCAAAGAGAAATATTGTGCTTTGTTCTAATGTTAGCTTGGGATGTGACAGAGAGCCGTAATTAAATGGGCTATGAGTTATCTACGAAAAACTTTTCAGCTATGATCATTTCCCTGTTATTTTTCATGACTTGTGATTATTACAATTTTTTTTTTTCTGGAGCCTTGTCTGAATGGAAAGGTGTATTTGAAATGCCAAAAGAGAAAAAGGTGAAATAGGGTAGGTGAAATTGCTGCAGTTATGAGATCCGGAATACAGTGGCTCAAACATAGAATTTGATTTTTCTTGACCAGTTCAGGGTGAGAGTTCCAGGTAAGGGAAGGATGAGGAGTGGTAGAAAGGGTGAGGAGGGAGATTGCGTGGAGGTTGGGAGAGGTTTTGTTCCTCTCAGCTTTTGAGGGACCCAGGCTGATGAAAGTTCTGTCGTCTATAAAAACTGACTTCTAAATTCTCACTGATCATTGCCATTGTCAGAGTCAGAAGGAGAAAACAACAAGAAGTTAATGGAAATTTTTATGCATCACACATTCTGTTCAGAGAACATTGTCACATTGTTCTCCACCCCTAATCCCACCCAGCCAAGGCAAGGGTGGCAAGGAAATGTAGCTTTGATGAAAGAGGGGGGAAAGGGATTCTAGTGAACAGCTAGCCTTCTCTTCTCCTCTGGCTTCCAAATATTTGTTGATCTTTTCTTCTTACCCTTGTAATACATGTCTTCCCATATCTGTCTCCATGGAAGATCGTCTAAACCACAATTAATGCATCCAGGTCAAAGCCCAGAGTCAGACAATGAGTAGTCTTCTTTATCAGATTGATTCCTGGACTATTTTCTCTTTGACTCCTGATTCTGTCCTCCGGGAGGGTCTTCTTTGTCGATTTTCTTCATGGCCACATCTAAAAGGTGAGTTCGGCCTTTTTCAGGGCCATTTGACAGCCCACTTCCTGTTGGTGCAGATTTCAGGGCTAAGTCAAATATTCCAAGCTTTTCTTAGTCCAGGATTGGGTCTTCGAATATCATTTCCTCAGAAACTTACTGGGTTTTTTTGCTCTATTTGCTACCAGTCAGTTACATGTGTTAGTAAACCAAATCCAACTTACTTTTCTTGACAGATGCTTTTCCAGCCTGCTTTCCCTTCGATTCCTTGTCTTCATGCCTTTCTCTCAATGTAATGGTGGTTAGCATTAAAGGCCTCTAAAACCATAGATGTGAGCACAAAGACAGCATTTTTAATCCATCAGATTGTGCAACAGTTGTGTGTATTTGATTGAATGAGATATCTCAATGGGAAAACATCAACTTTACCTTTGCTTTTCCAGGTATAAAAATGATGGACGTTTTCAACCTTTTTAGGCTCCAACTACCTAGACTCTATTTTCTTCCTCTGCTTCAAACGTTTCTGTTCTTGTCTAAGCTTATCTTTTGTAGAAGTATTTTTCCAAAAACAGCATAGTCTCTTTTGGCTTTTTCAATCACTTCCTTTGCTTAGCGTACAGACATTAGGCCTATCATCCAAGTTATGACATTTTTTTTCCTCCAAATGTTTTGCCACTGCATACATGAATCTTCAGGTTTCCAGCCCATAGTGTTTGTTTCCCCACTTCTCCCTTCCTGACCACGACTCAATGCAACATATGATTTGGGTTATGGCAGTACCTTCCTTTAGTACCAAATTCTAAGTAAGTTAGGGGAAACTGTTAACAAAGTCTCAGTGTAATAGCTCAAACATAATAGAACTGTCTTTCCTTCTCATCAAATAGTCTTGGGTTATTCCAGGTTGGGGAAGAGGGGAGAGAGGTTTATCTCCAAGAACCAAGGCTTCAACATATGGCTTTCAAGGTTGTTCTAGTCATTGTCATTAACATTCCAGACAGTCATAAAGAAAAAGGAGCAAGAAGGGGTATTATTGGCCAACTCTAGAAGTGGCACATGTTGTTTTGATGCTAGGTAAGTGTGCAGTTGTTTTGTGGGTTCTTGGCTTCACCACAATTCTGAAATTCTGAAAAAGGATTTCAGAGTAAATCCAAAGTATAGTTTAAATTAGAATTTATTAAGAAGGAAGGTCACATTCAAAAGGGAACATGGGTACCTTAAGAGAAAGGACACATCACCTTGCTGGAAGCTCAGTGATTTATATTTGCTCTTAGTGATGATTAAAGAATCTGTTGTTTAAGCTAAGATCTGGGTGCTACATGGGATACGTGGTGGGTAGCAATCTATTAATTACTATCTTTATTATCATAAGCTTTTATGTATTATTGTTCATTTCTAAGCTTACTTGTAACATGGGAAACTCTTAAGATAATGCTAAAGGTTACTGCTTTCAGTTTGATTAAGTTCTTCTTGAATAACACCATGCTCCACTACCTCTGGTAATTCCCCCACTGCCTTGTTTATGATTTTTGTAACTAAGTGTACCAATTGTCCCACATTCCAGGGTTGGGTTTGAGAGTTATGTGTCTATAAGTCAGTGCCCTGGTGCCTGTCCAGATGGTCTTTTAATTATCTAAGGAATCCCTGCCTGCAAGAAACTCATCTATTTATGTCTCAGCTGTGCTAGCTACCCTTCCTCAGTTTCTGCTCACATGCTGTTTGGAGAGCTTAATCACAGGATTATACCTAAATGCGTGAGAGAAGATGACAGACTTTGGTGAAGATGGGCCGTCTGCTGCAAAGACTCAGTAGTTTGTGTCTCTTTTTTTTCCAGCTATGAAACAAAGGGGAAATCAGATACATCCAGCAACCATGCTGTGCTAAAACTGGCCAAAGGGGATGAAGTTTGGCTGCGAATGGGCAATGGCGCTCTCCATGGGGACCACCAACGCTTTTCCACCTTTGCAGGCTTCCTGCTCTTTGAAACTAAGTAAATATGTGAATAGAATAGCTCCACTTTGGGGAAGGTGTGTAGCAGAGCTGGTATTGTTATGATCTGAGGAATATTAAAGTTGACAGTCTTACATGCTATATTTAAAAAAGTTGTTATTGGTTACATTGCTAGTCATGCTGCAGGTACATCAATAATGTGGGATGACTCAGGGGCTCAGAAGAATAAACCACAAAATAGTCCTTCCAGATGACATTGACGAATAAACTCGGCATCTGTATCACTCTTCTCTGGGCACCTAAAAGAGAATTCTCCTCTGATGCATGTTGGAAATAATTGTTCCCAAGAGATAAGTCATTTGCAAAGAGTTGTGGCTGTTCTGTTAAGTTTACTACCAGTTTTCAGGAACACCTGAAGTTTGTAATTCATCATTTTTTATAACACTGCAGAGAACAGGGTGCAGTAATCATGATGGGGCTGGTACAAGTACTGATAAAACCAGTTCTGTATCATGAGACAATTATATTTCAAAAAATGCAAAGCATTAAAAGTTAAGATTTACTCTACAAAAAAGATACCTGCACACATGTTTATTGCAGCACTATTTACAATTGCAAAAAACGTGGAAACAACCATGCTGCCCATCATAACTGGACTGATAAAAAATGTGGTACATATACATGGTGGAATATTATGTAGCCATAAAAGACAAAATTATGGACTTCATAGTAACCTGGATGGATTTAGAGTCTTTAATACTCAATGATTTATCACAGAAAGAACTGAGTACCACATGTTTTCACTTATAAGCAGACCCTGAACATTTACCATAATACTATAAGAAAGGGATTGGCAGTAGCTGGAAACTGCCAGAGGAGGGGCGGGCACATAACATTAATAAGGGTACCTGATCTCAAGGCAAAGTGGGGACCAAAGGGGAACCCAAATTTTACCTGTACAATTACCACTTGTATACCTAATCCTGAATTGTACCCCACATCTTTAAAATAAAATAAATTTATAATAATTTTTAAAGTTAAGATTTGCCAGGACCTAAGTACCAAGACACATTTTTAAAACCCAGACTGGGGAGTCACACTTTGATCTGGTGGGTCATAATATTGATATATGAATAAAATATAGGGTTTTTTGTAATCCCAGAGAACTTTTAGATAGCAAAAGTATTTACAGTACCCACAAATAATTGTCTTCTCCTTTTCAAAATAAAGATATGTCTGTAATTAAATCTTAACTTGTAATGGTCTGCATTTTTAGAAATAGAATTTTCTCGTGATACAGAGTTGGGTTTATCAGCTCTGATTTATCAGATTGAGCCTTTGTTAATGTAGAATTGCAGTAGGTCTTTGTTGACTGGCCTGCAGAACCAGTTGTGGTGAGCTTAGGCCATGTAGGATGAATGTTATCATATTCTTTTCTCTTAATTTGGAAGTCACCCACTATACTTATGTTTTACACACACTGTGTCATGTTGAAGAGGCTGTAAACTCAATCATATACATTCAAACTAACAAATACAAAATATAAGGATTTAAGAAACATACAAGAAAATGTCTTAAACTTTTAGTTGGTAATAAGTGATATGACTTTCTTGATTACCATAGTTAACCAATATGCACAGAGCAAATTTTATTTACTGGGTATTGTGGAAGGTTCTATCAGGCTTTTGTCTATCCCTCCCCATTCTAAAGTCTATTCTCAAAGGAATAAATTTGCCACCATTCTTATATTCACAAGAATGTGCCACAGTTTTGAAGACAGTGTCCAAAGATAATACCTCACATTGGTTTATTTTAGGCAAAGAAAGTATCATTGGAATATGTTTACCTTGATGTCAAATTATATTTAAAATGCATTAGATTTTACAACTGATATCTGAAAAATAGCATATAATGAATTCCTTTTGAAGTAATGAACCCTTAATTTATTTTCTATTATGATCTGAATTTCCCCATAGGCTTTTAAACTATGGGTTTACTTATATTGATTACCCCTACACCTAGAGGCAGAGAGGACTAATTAGGACTTCCCTATTAGCTAACTCAGTGTCCTCCATGCTCAAGTTAGTCTTGGACCCTTTCCTTTTGATCCACAAATATTTTAAAACTCTTTTTGGATCCACATACAATACTATTTAAAAATGAATAGATATTAGCTATGGTGTGCTTGACCAGTAATATTTTTGTGATTTTGTACATTCCCCTCTTTCCCCAAGGCTATGGAGTCTGGGGTTGAGGTTTACTATTACTAAATGTCATAAATATTTTGCAAAGGTACATTGCCAATTGATATTTGAAGTTGCATGTTGATCAAAGAGGTTTTGTATATGAAGATCATACACTACTTATAAAGTGACTTAAAGGAATATTTTGACCTGGCTTTAGATAAAACTATGGCAAGAAAAATGTAATAAACAATGTATGGAAATAAACACATCTTTGTTAAATGTGCTGTTATTAAATATTTATAATAAAGTTTAATAGTCATATGATTGTAAGTCATCATGGTTAACACAAAGTTAGAATATTTTTATGCAGGCAAAGTGAATAGCCATGTGAATTGTTGACATGAACACAGAACATTGTCACCTGTCTCCAAAATAAACTTCACTTTTCAGTTATTCCAGTTCTATGAATTCAACCCTTTAGGACAGATGTTTTGAGGGTTACCTAACAAACTTTGACTACTCCTGAGGGGAGGGGAGTCTTCATCACACATCTGAAGTCTTTCTATGTTCATGCTTACATTCTAATTTTTACCTTAAAGACACCCAAGGTCTGAGTATAGGCAGTTGGAAAGCATTGCATGCTTGCAAATAAGTCCCAGGTGTGAGGAAAGGTGATTCACAAGGGAGGTGGGAGAAGGTCAGGATAGTTTTTTCATGCTTTCACAATTTTACCCATGATGGGAATTATATCAGGAAGACCAATTTCACACGTCTCCAAAACTGAGGCGCTAAAAAGGAGACAGTAGCTGGGTGCTGTAGGAAATTTAAATGTGTCATTTAATAAATCAACTTTTAAATTCTAAACCTTAAATAAGAGTAACGTTGCAAATGAAGTATGTGGGTTTCTGCTGCTGCAGGAATGCAATACAGTGTAAAAATGCTTCACACAATAATCAATTTGGGTGATTTCCAGTGCAGAAAGGGCTACCTTTGACCTTTGGACAACAAAAATATTATGTTGAAGGGATTTTACCGAGCATATCATGAATAAAAGCTGAAGTCAAAAATAAAATTTAAAAAGTGATTCAGAGGATAGAATATGCAACTGTAAACTTCAAAGGACATGGCTAGAATTGATAAGTATCTACTTTATGTAAGACACTGTGCTATTCCAGGCACTGATATTGCATCTAAAGTACAATTCTTATCTTTCCTATATTTTCATCCTAATAGGGGACATTAGGTTAAAGGGAGTAAATACATAAATAATAATATAATGTAAAGTAAAATGTTTTAAAAGCCATAGAAGGCAAAGGGCTAAAGGGTCACAGGAGAAACAATACCCTGATGGGAGCATAAAAAGACTTGTACAAGAGAATAATTGATGGTCAGAAATAATTTCTTGCTTTGTTATGTTTGGAGTGTTATAGGTTTTTAAATAGATTGTTGTTTTTCTTATTACAAAAAAGAACTCATTGTAGAAAATGTTTAAAATATACAAAAGTATTTAGTATAAGATTTAATCATCCTACTAAAAATAATCATTTTGATTAGTTTCTCCTTACCTAAGCTGCATTATTAACAGCTTTAAAAATGATTATTGTAACAAGGGATAGGGGACTATTACCATAGGGAGAAGGCTCTGTGTTGGGAGCCAGCCATGGAGGCCTGCCTGCTGACAAAGTCCAGGGGGCTGAAGACTCCGGGGCGCAAAGTGAACCTGGCCAGCTGAGATCCTTGCTTCTTCTACTTTTGTTATTAGTGCAGCTGAAAAGTTCTGTACAGTCCGAGGATGGAAAGTAAAATTCCACTCACACCTCCACTACCCCTAGTAAGAAGGCAAGAGGGGAATTCATGAAAAATTACCTTCCCTTCATTTGAATTCCTCCCTAGGTTTCCACGTCCCTGGCCTCCTGGTATTAAACCATGCAATCACTTGATTAAACATTGTAGTTGGGAAAATTGTAAAAAATCAGAAAGTGCTTGATTCAATGTTTGTCAGGGAACTCACTGGCCTTGCCAGGAAATTATCAATAGAGATTTTAAATATCATATGCGGGTAGATAATGTAAGGCCGGAGGCACCAGAGAGTGGGACGAGCCTTAACAAGAGGGCTCCAACCCAGACCAGGAGAACAATGGGTGAAAGCGAGTCAGCAAAAATGAGTGACCAGAACTAAGACTCCAGCCACAAAGCCAGCCAGTACCTGTTACAGTGACTCTAGCAACCCCATTCAGCCAATCACCAGCAGACGTGACACCTGTCCCAACCAGTGATTACTCTCCCCAACCCCCTCACAACTTTCTCAATGTACCCTTTATAAACTCATTGCCCATCTTACTTCTCCGACCCACAACTACATGGACCGGTGAACTTCGTCCAAAATTAGCTAATAAATTTTTCTTAACTCCTTTGTTACCTTTTCGCCTGGTCTGGTTTCATTTACCTTACATTTGGTGCCGAAACCTGGGAGGACAGTGCAGGGCCCCAGCGGGCTCCCCGCTCCTCTCCCGATCCAGGACCTCTCTCGGGAACAGGACCTGGCCCCAGGACCTCAGACAACGTGGTGAGTCCCTTGCTTTCCCTAAATTCTCCTCCTACCCTCTGGGGTGCCCAGTCCAAAATCATAGCTGCGTCTGGGCTCACCCCTCTGGCATGGTGCCTTTGGCTCCGGTGTAGTGGAGATGTCCCTATCTCCAGATCGCCAACCCTATAAACGGAAGCAGATCTTCCTTTCTGTCCCTATTCTGAGTGAGTCTGGGACGCTGGACTCGCTTGTTTAGGGACCCGGGGATGGAGGTTACGGCCATGGGAAGCCAGCCTTCTAAAACTGAGGCTCAGACCCCCTTGTGGTGTCTCATATCTAATCTGGCTACTCTGGGGTTGTCCAGGATATCTGTAAAGGGAAGCTAATCTTCCTTTCCTCCCAGGTCTGGCCCCAATATCCTCTGAACAATCAGTCTCACTGACCTCCCCCCGAAGGAACTTTCGATTTTTACCTCCTCACTGATCTCAGTAATTATTGTCACCGGACTGGGAAATGGTCCGAGGTCCTCTATGTCCAGGCCTTTTGGGCATTGCGCTCCCACCCAGACCTCTGCGTCAGATGTTCCTCCGTCCAGGTCTTCCTGGCCAAATCCCCTAATAGGGGCTATCAGCCTCTCCCTGCGTCGGAATCTTCCTTCGCAGATCCTCCGGGGGACCTTGGCCTTCCCCCTCTGACTCCTACGCCTCCTTCTCCTCCCCTCCCGTCCGCCTCTTCTCAAAGGTCTGCTCTTTCTCAACCCCCTCCTTATCCGACTTCC